CCCCCCCCCCCCCCCCGTATTGTTTACTGCTTGCTTGTATGTCTGGTGATAATCTTGGTGTTAATTTGTGCTTATCACTCTGCTTGGGTGATGACTGCTGGTGAAGAGACATTCTGGTCTTTTGTTTCCTTTTTATTGTCTCTTTTGAATAGTGTGTAGATATTGTTTATCTCTATGTACCTGTTGATGGCTACCTTGTCTGAATACCGGGCTTCCAGGAATTCCCTCACATTTTTGGATTTAGCTTGATCTAAGATGCTGACAGTTTCCCAGTTGAAACTATGGTTATATCTGTCCATGTGTTGTGAGATTAAGGAGTTCTCATTGTGTCTTCTGACTGCTAGTTGGTATTCACATTTTTGGATTTAGCTTGATCTAAGATGCTGACAGTTTCCCAGTTGAAACTATGGTTATATCTGTCCATGTGTTGTGAGATTAAGGAGTTCTCATTGTGTCTTCTGACTGCTAGTTGGTATTCATGGATGCGCTCTGCCAGCCTTCTGCCTGTTTGTCCTATATAGTGGTTGCTGCAGTCCTTACATTGTATGTTGTAGATGACTTCAGTTTTTTCTTCTTGGGCTACTGGGTCTTTTGGTTTATTTGAGATGTTTTGGAGGGCTTTAGTTGGTTTGTATGCTACAGAGATGCCACATGGTTGTAATAGTCTGTTGGTTGTTTCTGAAATGTTTCTGATGTATGGCAGTGTTATCCTTTTCATAGCTTGTGTTGGCTGTGTTGTAGTAGTTGATCAGACACTAAGTTGCGTGGATGTCCATTTTGTTGGGAGATGTTGTATAGGTGGTCTGTTTTCTTTTTCTGCTGTTCTGGGTTGCTGCAGTGAGCTCGTTTGAATAATGTTCTTACGCAGCTCTTCTTGTGGGAGGTTGGGTTGTTACTTTGGTAATGGAGTACTTGATTAGTGTGGGCTATTTTCTGATAGACTTGAGTTTCTAATTTGCTGTTGTTTCCTCTGCTGATGAGGATATCCAGGAAGGGTGGCGTGTTGTTGTTTTCTTCCTCTCTGATGAATTTTATTCCTTTGAAGATGTTGTTGATAGTTTCATGTCTCTTCTCCAGTTGTTCCTTTTTATTATAACAAAGGTGTTATCTACATACCAGATCCATATTTTTGGTTGTATGCGTGGAAGTGTTATAGTTTCTAGGTGCTGAAACCCTGAGCTACACATATTCTCTTCTATTGAGACCTGGCAATGGCTAAAAGCAGGAAAGTTGGAGAAAGAGACAGAGGGGCTAATTCTGGCTGCACAGGACCAAGCCTTAAGAACAAATGCATACAAAGCCAGAATTGAGAAGACAGAAACAGACAGCAAGTGCCGCCTCTGCAAAGAAGCTGAAGAAACAGTGGACCACCTAGTTGTCCGCTGCAAGAAGATTGCACAAACTGACTACAAACAATGGCATGACAAAGTAGCAAAAATGGTGCACTGGAATATCTGCAAGAAATACCATTTGCCTGCAAGCAAGAACTGGTAGGACCACAAAACAGACAAAGGAATAGAAAACGAAGAAGCTAAATTTAGTGCTCTGGGACTTTAGAATTCAAACAGACCAGCACCTGCCACAGACTTAACCACTGTTGATAAGAAAGACAAAAAAGTCTGGATAGTGGACATTGCAATAACTGGAGACAGCAGAAGAGAAGAGACAGCAGAAGAGAAGAGAC